ACGAGGCGTGTGCGCTAATCGCCTTTAATTCTTTTCCGGTTTCTGTGCTCTTACTTCCTAGAAACATTCTTTTTTTGGGTAAAGTCGAGCTACCGTTTGAACAAGGACAACGAAGTCGCAGGATGCCCCAGTCTCCCTGCACCTGCGTCTGCCCAGCTCGTCTGGTCAGGAGGACAGCAGCCACGGGGGCAGGGCCCCGGAAGACCTGCGGGGCTGTGGGAGTGAGGCAAGTGGGCCCTCTGATGAGCGGTGAAAGTTTCCACCACCTACAAAACACTGTGCTTCGCCCGCGCTGAGGTGAGAGGGCAGGAGCCAGCGAGAAAGGCAGCTCCTGTCTTCACGTTCTCCCGGACACCCCAGAAGAGCACAGCATGGCCTCCGAGGAGCGCAGAAAGCCCAGCTTCCACATCGCCAACTCCAGCGGATGCCCGACCACCGGGCGGGCGTACAGAAAGCCCGAGGAAGCACCGCACGGCGTCCCCGTTTACCTGAGCTCTCCGGGTTGCCGCCTCCCAGCGCTGATCTATGCTAGACAAAGGCCCGCCACCGGGCCTTGGGACCTGTGGCTCATCACACAATGCTTCGGAGACGGCAAGGACTCCACCCTCTGCCCACACTCAGTCACCAGCTGCCGGCCCTCAGGGTCTCCCTCTCCGGAGTCCGCCGTATCCACTTCCTTTCTGCTCCCACCTGCCTCGCTGCCCTCTCCCCGTTCCCCTGGCTTTCCCCTTCTCCATACTCTCACTGTACTATTCTGCTGAGTTAGCCTCGAAACACTGCTTCAGCCCACTCCAGCAAGCTTCCGAACCGGAGGTTTGTTACACCCATCAGTTCTCCTTTCGGTCCCGACACTCTCCTCCTCTCTAGCCGCTGCTGCTGTGTGGCGCTTGCTCTTGTCCTCCTCCACACCGAGCAGAGTGTGGTGCTAGGCAGACACGGGTCCACGGGGGAAGTCTTCCCGTCCAGGCGACTGTCAGCAGCTCATGGGACCCAGACCCAGACCTACTGAGCACACCTGTGGGCCCAGGCCTGGGCATACGGATTTAGGAAGCTGAGGCCGTAGCTCATCGACTCTAATGGAGGTCGGGTGTGTAACCAAGCTCAGCGCCACCTCCGGAAAAACGGGAGCGCAGAGGAGGGAGCGCTCACACGTCCTGGAGGGTTCCGAGACTTCACAGCAACGAGACCTGTGCCAAGCCCTGGGAGACGGTTAAAACGTAAGGAGACCACTGGTTAAATCCTGGTGGGCACCTCAAGCGGAGAAGAGAAAACAGGCAAAGACGTGTGCACAGCATGTCTGCATAATGGTGAATGAGAGGGTAAAGCACTGACCTTCGCTGAGGCACAAGGCGCAAAGCAAGGAGGAGCGGACAGGGAGAAGCACCAACGCAGAGACGGGGCAGACTGGCCCGAGCAAAGGAGACTGAGCCTGGAACTTCGCCCAGGGGTGACGGAGAGCCAAGCAGCGTTTCTACCCAAGGAATGACATGATCATACAAACGGTACCAGAAATGCTTCAAAGCAGAGCCTACCGATGCCGCTAGTCTCACGAATGCAGACACTTAGCGAACAAAGCATCTAACTTAACTTAGGAAAAAACAAGACAAGGGAATAGACAGAACAAGAACACAAAGAACCTAAATGAAGTGAACAGAAAAAGATCAGCAGAGCAGGGCAGGTTCAAGGTGTGCACCTGCCGACGAGGGCAGAGCTGATGCTTCCCTTGGGTCCGACTCTTGGTCATCCTTCTCTCCCGCTTCCACTCACAGGGACTCTGTGAAGACCTGTTCCAAAATCTGGACAAAATGACCTTTGTGAAGAAATGACCTTTAAAGCTACATCCTGAGGAGCCGGGGGGGGGGGTGGCACACGCCTGTAATCCCAGCTGTAATAGGGAGGCTGAGGCAGGAGGATCGTTGCGAGTTCGAGACCAGCCTAGGCTACAAAGTGAGCTCAAGGCCAGCCTGAACTGCATAGCGAGACCCTGGCTCAAAAAGGCAAAAAAAAAAAAAAAAACAGAGAAAGCTACATCCTGAAAAATCACAACATAGTAATTTAACAGCCAAACATACTCAGAAACTGTTTTTTTGACCTTCAAGAACATCCCAAATCAAAGCGCTCTGCCGTGGGAACCGTTTCTGAACCACCACAGCTCATTATCATGAGTGGGTTTTTTCATGTGGTTAAACGGTGGGTGAAAATAAAGATCAGCGAGCACAGAGCTGCCTTTGTGGGGCTCCCGCTCGTGGCTCTGATGGCGTCTGTTCCCATGAACGAGCACCGAGGGTCTTCTCGGAGACAAGCTCTTTG